ATCTCTTACCTTAAGGCCAGAAAAATGATTTCCAAAGAGTATATCTATCATCTTTTTCGGGTTAAGGATTCAAACTCCGAAACCCCAACTCTTGAGTTAGTCCCAGTAGTAAATGAATTTCCAGAAGATCTTTCCAAAGTTCCTATCGAAAAGGAAATTGACTTCGGTATAGATCTCCTTCCAGATACCCAGCCCATTTCAATTCATCCTTATAGAATGGCTCCAACCGAGCTGAAGGAATTGAATGAGTAGTTGAAAGACCTTTTAGATAAGTGCTTCATCAGACCTAGTATCTCTCTATAGGGTGCTCCAGTGTTGTTCGTGAAAAAGAAAGATGGTTCTCTCATAATGTGCATTGATTATCGTCAGTTGAACAAAGTCACCATCAAGAATAAGTATCCCATTCCCTATTATTGATAACTTATTTGACCAACTTCAGGGTGTTAGTTGTTTTTCTAAGATAGACCTCATATCCGGTTATCATCAGCTCAGAGTTAGAGATAGTGACATTTCAAAGACAACTTTCAGAACTCGGTATGGTCATTATGAATTTGTAGTTATGTCTTTTGGAGTAACAAATGCTCTTGCAGCTTTCATGGACTTAATGAACATGGGGTTCAAACAGTATTTGGACTTGTTCATCATCGTCTTTATTGATGATATCCTCATTTATTCCCGGAGAAAGGATGAGCATGTTACTTATCTGAGAGTTGTTCTGCAAACTCTCAAAGATTGCCAGCTATCGCTAAGTTTAGCAAATGTGAATTCTGGTTATAGTTCATCGCTTTCCTTCTTCATGTGGTATCTAACGAAGGGATCCGAGTAAATACTCAGAAAATTGAGGCAGTACAACACTCGCCCAGACCTACCTCTCTAATTGATATTAGAAGTTTCTTGTGTTTGTCCAGTTATTATAGGAGATTTGTTGAAGGATTTTCATCCATAGCTTCCCCATTGACCAAGTTGATTCAAAAGAAGGTCAAATTTCAGTGGTCAGATGAGTGTGAGAAAAGCTTCTCAGAACTAAAGACTAGGTTGACTATAGCTCCGGTCTTAACTCTACCAGATGGTTCAGATGGTTATGTGATTTATTCTGATGCATCCCGGGTCAACCTAGGTTGTGTGTTGATGCAACGAGGTAAGGTCATAGTTTATGCTTCTAGACAACTTAACGTCCATGAGAAGAACTACCCGACTCATGACCTCGAGCTTGCAGTCGTAGTTGTTTCCCTAATGATTTAGAGACACTACTTGTATGGTGTTCATGTTGATGTATTCACAGATCATAAGAGCCTCAAGTATGTGTTCACCCAGAAAGAGTCGAATCTTCGTCAGAGGAGATGACTTGAATTTCTCAAAGATTATGACATGAATGTGTGTTACCATCCTGGTAAGGCCAATGTAGTGGCTGATTCTCTCAGTAGGCTGTCTATGAGTAGCGTAACACATGTTGAGGAAGAAAGGAAAGAGTTCGCCAAAGATGTTCACCAGCTTGCTCGCTTAGGAGTTTGTCGTACGGACATATTAGACAGTGGGGTGGTAGTTCAGAATGGATCTGAATCTTCATTGGTAGCGAAAAATATGAAAAAACATGATAGTCATCCTATATTACTTCAGTTGAAAGGTGTAGTTCATTGGTAGAAAGTTGAGGTTTTCTCCCAAGGGGAGATGGTGTACTTCGTTACCAGGGTCGCTTATATGTTCCTAATGTGGGTGAGTTGATGCATCAGATCCTTACAGAAGCTCATAACTCTAGGTATTCCATTCATTTAGGTTCCACTAAGATGTATCGTAATCTATGGGAATTCTTTTGGTGGAACGGCATAAAGAGGGACATAGCAAATTTTGTGGCTAAGTGTTCTAACTGTCACCATGTTAAGGTAGAACATCAGAAACCAGGAGGTATGACTCAGGAGATTAACATTCCCACATGGAAGTGGGAAGTGATAAATATGGACTTCATTACAGGTTTACCCCGTACTCGCGGACAGCATGACTCCATTTGGGTGATAGTAGATAGAGTTACTAAGTCCGCTCACTTCTTGGTTGTCAAGACTACAGATTCAGCGGAGGACTACACCAAACTGTACATCAATGAGATTTTCAGGTTGCATGGGGTTCCCTTGTCTATTATCTCAGATAGAGGTCCTCGGTTTACCTCTCATTTCTGGAAATCGTTTCAGAAAGGCCTTGGTACTCAGGTAAATCTCTATACAACATTTCATCCACAGACGGATGTCAGGCAGAGCGTACCAGTCAGACCATAGAGGACATTATGAGAGCTTGTGTGATTGATTTCAAGGGCAGTTGGGATAATCACCTACCTCTCATAGAGTTCACCTATAATAATAACTTCCATTCCAGTATTCAGATGGCCCCGTATGAAGCACTATATGGGCGTAGATGCAGGTCCCTGATTGGTTTGAAGTAGGTTAAGCAACCTTAATTGGGCCAGATTCGGTTCTTGAGGCTAAGGAGAAAGTTCAACTCAACAGATGTAGATTAAAGACAACCCAGAGTTATCAGAATTCCTATGCAGATGTGAGGAGAAGGGACTTTGAAATCCATGATTGTGTTTTCCTGAAGGTGTCACCTATGAAGGGGGTGATGAGATTTGGCAATAAAGGAAAGATCAATCCTAGATATGTAGGTCCGTACAAAATCCTGAAAAGGGTTGGTAATGTGGCTTATGAGTTAGAGTTTCCAACAGAATTAGCAGAGGTTCATCCAGTCTTTCACATTTCCTTGTTGAAGAAGTGTGTGGGTGATCCGGCACCAATAGTACGATCAGAGAGTGTGGCTGTGAAAGATAGTCTCACCTATGAAGAAGTGCTAGTTGAAATTCTTGACCGTCAGGTTCGTAGGTTGAGAAATAAGGAAGTCGCTTCAATAATGATTTTGTGAAGGAGTCATTCAGTAGAGGGAGCTACTTGGAAGCAGAAGCAGCCATGATGTCAAACTACCCTCATCTCTTTCCTTCTGATTCCATTTCAGCTTCAAGTAATAGTTCCTCTCTAGTTTCTCAGTTTACTCGTGCGTAAATTTAGTCTTAGTATCTTGTTCATTCAGTTTTTCTTGTATTTCAGCATATTTGCATGTTCTTGGAACTTAGTTCACTTAGAGATCATTTTTTACTACTTAGTGGTAGGGATTGTAGCTCTTTCCCTCCATACTCAATTTGTTTAGACTTCATTCAAGGACGAATGTTCCCAAGGGGGAGATATTGTAACACCTCAGATTTGAGAAGATAAAAAAATGCAACTTTCTAGGACCTAGTGCAAGAACCATGGAAGCCACCGACTGTCCGTGGTCTGACACACGATCCGTCGGTGGGGTCCGTCAATGGGCACCAAATGTTTATAGTCTCTAGCCCAACTCACGGTTGACCAGGACGGTTCGTAGGTGAGGGTCAACAGCCAATTAAAGGAAAATTGTTGTTGGGTCAACTTCAAACGATCATATCTTTTAGCACAAAATGAATTAGGTGGCCCATGACCTATCAAATGAAAGATAATTAAATCCTTTTTCACTGAGTTTGCTAAATCCCATCTCGGAGTAAAAAGTTATGCTCGTTTTAGTGAAGCCCTATCGGGCAAAGCTTGACCGATGACCACTACTGATGGTTGGTAGGTCAAATGACGGCCCATCAGTCCTCTAGTAGGTGGCACTCCTCAGATATAAGTCAGGGTCATTTTGGTCCATTTTTCCTATGCGTTGGGCACTTAAACTACGTCATTTGATGCCAAAAAAATGTCGTTATATTATATTTAAACCTAATAACTTAGTCAGACATACCCAGAACCCTGATTCACCTAAAGTCATCCAAACTTAGAGAAAAAAGGAGAAGAAAGAGGAGAGTCCCAAGAACAATCTGAAGGTTTGCTTCAAGTTTCATCCCCAAAATAGAAGGATTTCTCCGTAGATTTCGTCCCTAGGTATGTGGGATTACACTAGTGGGTTCCTTTCATCCACTAGGTCCCTAGAAATCAGTTAGTTCTTTGATTCTACATATCTTGTTTAGGCCAACGATTTCTAAGACCTTGGATATATACATTTATTTTAGCAATTGTAGTATCCTAAATCCAAACATCATGTTTCTTGGTAAGCTTATTTAGTTCCTTGTATGAAACTTAGAACCCTAGTTGTGTAGATTCTCTAGTTCATGAATTACACTTGCTAGGTCAGTTAAACCAATAATAATGCTCCAGATTTGGATTGTTAGATTATCAGTATATAAATGTTGCATTTTCAGATTGCAGGTCAGT